CCTCAAAGCCAGCAATGTATCTCTGATCATTCTTCTATTGTCTTGTTTGACTCTCTTGTCTCTCTCTTCCACTTCCTATGCTCCCAGCCCTCTTTGGTACTGGGACTGAACACAGGAGTGTTCAACCGCTAAGCTATAACCCAGGCCCCCGCCCCTGCCTTTTTTTGAGACAGTCATGGTAAGTTGCCCAGGCTGGCTCAAACTTTCTGCCTCAGCTTCCTAAGTAGCTGGAATTATAGGCATATGCCAGCATACCTGGCTCCCTCTTCCACTTTTAATGGCCTTTTAAAATACATTGGGCCCAATGAATAATCTAGGATAATCTCCCTATTTTAATGCCAGTTGACTAGCACTCTTAATTCCATCTGCAACCTCAATTCCCTTTAGCCATAAAACATAGTCATGGGATCCAAAGGCTTGACTAAGAGGAACACCAATAGAAGCAGCAATGCCAAAAGTGGAGAGGGATCGATCATACTTTGATGGCATTGTACTCTCCTTAGATTTAGCTATGGCTAAGTCCTGTGAACCTTCTCCCCTCAAGTCAGTTTGAGTTGGTTTCCCCAAACTTACAACTTAGTTTTGATGTTACTTGTGATAGCATGGTATGTTTGATACTGAATAAATTTAAATTATTTTGTTTTATTTTAATGTTAATAAGTACATACTAAAGTAAGGATGAAAATAAGAAAATCAAGAAACACATTGAACCTCAATTTTCAGGAATAGTAGACTAGGCCATCAGGACCACTCTCCTACTGAGGACAACTGAAAAAGTAGGACAATATTTATATCTTTGTCTATAACTTAAGAGCATTAAATTGCTAACAAGCTAGTGATTACTTATTAGTAATTACTGATGCAAGAGTGGAGACAGAATGGAAATCTGAGGTGGGTTTAACAGCAGATTAGGTGCAACATTTTCTTTAGGGGGTTTTGTGCCAGCCCTGAAAAGGTAGCTGAAAAATGAGCTATGTTTTTGGCAGCCTTGGGTAGCTCGGGAGATGACAGCGGAATACAGACCCTCCAAAGTAAGCATGGGAAGCTGCCCTGGGAAGGCTGGTGATCCCTAGGAGTAAGGTGAGTAAGTAGCCATTGAATTAAGATGTTTCTGAATGTTCAGTGCCTCCAGGAATTTGAAAGAAGAAATGTGAATTCTGCAAACATTGATTGGAAGATGCAAGGGAATATGTATGTCATATTTCCTCTTTAGAGGAAGATGTCGTTGTAGGCCTCAAATTATTTCCTCATATAGATGTGATAGGTAATTAAGCACTAATGAGAAAATAGATCATGAGCAAGAACCAAGAGAAAGAGACCCATAAGAATTGAAAATACTCAAATCATTAGATTTGAGAATCAGATCTGGAAAACAATGATGCTCATTCTGTTAAAGGAAATAAAGGCCAAATTCAACAAAGTTTCAGCAGAAAAATGGAAACTATAAAAAATAACATGAAAAATTAGAAAGAACCAAAAAGATATTGTAGAACTAAAAAATACAATGAATTAAAATAAGAAAACAGGTTTAAAACTAGGTTAGAAATAGCTGAAGAGAAAAATCAATGTATTACAAAGAAGGGTAGAAGAAACATAGACGTAGAAGAAATAATCTGTTAGCACTGATAGACAAAAAGATGGCAAAGAAAAGAAAATCAGAAGACATAACAAAAAGGACTAGAAAGCCAACAATGAGAGTTTCAGGAGAGGAGAGAAGAGAGAATGGGGAAATATTTCAAACAGTAATAGTTGAGAATAGGTGAAAAGACATCAATCCATATTCAAGAAGCCCAGTGAATATCAAGCAAGATTAAAAAAAATCCACACTTAGACATAACAAAATTATATTGCAGAAATATTAATTTCAAAGAATCAATTGTATTGACAACTAACATCTCAACAGCAAAAACAGAACCCCAAAAACCAAGAAATTAACTTTTTCATATGAAAAAAGAATACTGCCAATATGTAATTCTATACAGAGTAAGAATATCAACATCAATTCACAAAGATGGGGAGAACAAGAGATGCAAAACAGCAAAAAATTTTTTGAAAGTTAAAAAGCAAATGAATAAGTAGAAACTGATTTCATAGACTATAGAATCCTAAGGTAGCAGTAGATGATGGAAAACTATCAGGATCCACACTGCAAAATCTTCATAATGTTCAGAAACTGAGAGTTATCAAATACTTTTGCAACTGGGGGAAATATTTGGCTAAATAGAAGATTGGTTGTAAGCCATTTAGGAAAAAAACAAATCTCTGGACATTTTTCCCCTACCATTCATTCACTGGATGATTGCCTGTCTCCATCCCCATAGATGGGTCCTTGTTCTCAAGAGCTGACGTGATGGAGGGTGTGTGGACTTATGGAGGCCAAATCCAGGGATAGTAAGTAGGCTTATGCATAGTAAACTTTGAATATGGGTATTCTCAGCTCTCCCTCTGCTGAGTTAGGCTTTAGCTTTCCAAGAAGGCTGGATGACTGTTCTCTGTGCATGTGTCTAGTCTAAGATAACAGGGGATTCCCTACCAAAAGGCTCACCTGATCACTTCACAGCAAATCTCAAAGTCAACAAGTCCCATTAAACTGCTCAGAACTCCCAATGAGCTTTTTTTTTTTTTTTTTTTTCTTTCCATTTTACCCACAAGGCTGGTTAGAAATCAAAGGAACACATCAGAAGTAAAAGAAAGACTAGAACAAATGTAGGACATAGGGGTAAGGCAACTAAGGGAAAACAAACTACGCAACAAAACAAAAACTTATAATAAATGCCCTTAAAATGGTATTGCACTCATGAAACAAGGGTGGGATGTGTGCTAATTCCATCTATTGGCTCCAAGCCCCATTCCCACCTTTTCAAGTTCTCTGTAACACAGCAGGGTTAGAAGCTAGCCAATTATATTTCCAGGCTCCCTTGAAGGTGCTTCTGTTTAGGTTCTGCCAGTGTGAGATGCAAGGGGGTCCTGGAAGGTGGGAGGAACAAAGGAGACATTTTCTTTCCTGTTTTGGAAGTGCCTTTGGTGGAGGCAGTGGCAGCAGCAGTAGCACCAGCAGAAGCAGGCAAAATGGGGCTTCTGACTTCTTCCTCAGTAGCACTGATACAGTTCAATGCAGTAGTGGCAGGGGCCTGCATTGCAAAGCAGCAGTGAGGATGGGCTTTGGGCCCTGGCAGTTGTTTGATCCTTATCCTCTTTCCTTTTGCTCCTCCATCACTCCTGAAGTGATTATAGCCAATCCCTTCTTCAAATTCCTCTTTGCTTGAAGTAGTTCAAGTGGTTTCTGTTTTGTTGAGTGAACCACTAATTGATTAAAATGTTAGATTTTTTTTTTTTTTTTTTTTTTTTTTTTTTTGTACTAGGGATTGAACTCAGGGGCACTTGACCACAGAGTCACATCCCTAGTCCTATTTTATATTTTATTTGGAGACAGGGTCTCACTGAGTTGCTTGGTGCTTCACTGTTGCTGAAGCTGCCTTTGAACTCATGATCCTCCTTCTCAGCCTCTGGAGCTGCTGGAATTACAGGCCTATGCCACGGTGCCCGGCATTTTTAAAAAAAAAAATAATAAAAAATACTTTATATTAAAAATATAAAAACAGAAAAAATTCAGTGGAAAGGTAAGAATGCTGATAAAAATCACCTAGAAAGTATAGAAGCACACACACACAAAATTGAACAACAGAAGTGCTCAAAATTTACAGTAAATTGTAACACTGTATAACATTAATTATCATGATGTAAATTACTTATTCTCATGTTATCATACAAATACCATGTGATACAGAAAGCACGTGTCCTGCCTGGCCTAGTGAAATACAGCTAAGTACAATTTCAAGAGCAAAGAAATGTCAAAGAAAACCACAGAAAGTCTATAATCTTCTAATCAACAATACTCTGACAAGAACACTAAATATATTCAAGGTTAGATAAGCTTTATTCAAATGTCTGCATAAATATGACTTGATGTCAAACAAGTTTTTCCAAAGGGCTAAAATTTATTAAGCAGTAAAATTCAGCGCTTCCCTTTGGTCTGTCTCTGAATTTAGCTGACCAATATATCATTATTAGTAGTCTGCACTCACTGCTCATTTTTATCACTCACATTTCTCAGATCTTTGGGTGGCATTTTTCATTTCTCATGAAATTTCTTAAATTGCATTTAGAAACAGGACGAGGGTTTTACCTGCTCATTTCTACTTCAGAGGCAAAACCACATCCCTTGATTCTCATTTTAATTGTGGGTGTTTGCAAATGGTGTGCAACTGAGGAACTTAATGTTAAAATACAAAAAAATATGGTATAATCTCCATGTGCTAAAACAATACCTTCATTTTAATTTTTTCATTAAAGAATTATTTTTATTATTTCTCCACAAAGAAGCTATAAAAACACCTATAAAAGCATTGAAAAAACACTTTAAAATCCTGGATTTATGACGGGTACCTTGTTAGCACACACCTGTAATTCCTGACACTTGGGAGGCTGAGGCAGGAGGATCACAAGTTCAAGGCCAACCTCAGAAATTTACTGAGACCCTATCTCAAAATAAAAAATAAAAAGGGCTGGGAATGTAACTCAGTGGTTAATTGTCCCTGAGTTCAATCCCCAGTACCCCAAAATTTTTTTAAAAAATTAGAATAAACAAAATCTTGGATGGATATGATATATCTATGATTTACAACTAAAAATAAAATGCTAAATTCTATGAGAGAATTTCTGAATTATTTTGATAGAAATTTGCTAGAAGGAATCAGAATTTTTCAGGCTGGGAGTAGAGTGCATGCTTAGCATGTATAAGGTTCTAGATTTGATCCCTAGTCCCAAAACCAAACAACAACATAAAAATTATTTCTATTTCAACTCCCAATTTAGTTTTGAAAAGCAACACATTTGTTGACAGTCACTAATGATATTAATCTGGAAGGCAGAGATTTGTACATGAGGAGAGTTGGGTCCTTTAAGGTAACAAATGGAAGTGCTCTTCTCTTATTTTTCCCTTACATTTAAAAAATTTTTTATTTATTTATCTTTATTCTTCCCTTTCATTTTCAATAACAGTACAAATATACACATGGTTAAAAAATGCATAAAGTACAGAAAGATCTAAAACAAAGTAAATATCCTTTTCCTATAACATGACAGATCTGATGTCTTCAAAATCCTTTAGGAGTCATATGAGTAACACACCAACTAAGTCTTTTCAGGCCTTTGGAACTGTGTTGATTGTCTCCTATAACACCTCTGCTACAGAGGAAACGGGCATTCTTCTCCTTCATAAAGAAAGTTTAAAGGGCAACAGTCACACACCGCTCAGAGACAACGAAATCCAGGTAGCACCTCAGACACCACTGGGTCTAGTTGTAGCTCCAGAGAGTCCCAGGTAACATCCCTGAAATTTAGGAGTCACATTTACTAAAAAGGCATTTTCAAAAGTAAGAAAACATTTTCTTTAAATAAAAATGAGATCTGCTCCTTGTCAAATTCTGAGATTTGGGGGATAAGAGAAAAATATATTTGACATTATTCAAAAGGGCATGAGCCACAGACTCCCATGTAGTCAAGTAAAGGCCAAGGTATTACTAGGGAACAGGGGCAAGATGAGAGGGCAGGGAACTAAGGATGGAGAAGGAAGATCCCTTCAGAGAAATTCCTGCCCCAAGGCTGAGCAGTTGGGTGTCTTCCCCCAGTGTACTTGCTCTCTGGTGAGCCACAAAGACTTACAGAGACAGTGCTGCAGGAGTTCAGCCAAGTCCTTCCTCGATGCCACGGATCCTCCTGGCCAGCTGCACATCCTTGGGGAAAAGAGTGACTCGGCCAGCATGTAAGGAGAGGAGGTAGGCATCCTCAAAGAGGTGAACTAAAAATGCTTCTGCTGCCTGGGCAAAAGAGAAAATGACAGACACAGACAAAAGGCACAGGCTGCTCTTTGGAGACCTGTTGCACTTCTGAGAGCTCAAAAAGGACAGAGGGAATGACTAAAGAGCTCTGCTGCCACCACACAGAATCTCCTCCAAACCCTCATCAATATGCCATTGTCTTCAGGAGGTCAGACCAGCCTGTAATATTTCACAGGCAGTCCCATGGAATTCTGGAATGTTCTTTCTCCTCCTCTCAGCACTCACCAGTGGTATTTGAGCCCCTTCTTACCTCTTGAAGGGCCAACAGGGCCTGGGCTTGCCAACTGAAGTCCACACCACGTGAGAATTTCATACATATTTCTCTTGCCTGCGGAGGAGTGGAGACAGAGATCAGGAGTAGTAGAGTAACAAAAGAGAGATTAAAGGGAAGACAGACTCTCTCCAACTGTCTCCCATGAATTCACATCTCCATCAATCTGTCCTGGCCCTTAATGTTAGGGCCCAACCAGCAGCAGGTATGGACTCCTGGCAGCTTAGAAAATGGCATATCTCTTACTGGTGCTAGGAGGGAGATAAGGAGGCAATGTCCAGGGTAGGAAAAGGGATAAAACGGCAGGTGGATGAGAGAGTTCTATTTCTTTTCTTCTCTTTTTCTTAAACATCAATTTATTATTTTTTAATATTTATTTTTTAGTTGTAGTTGGACATAATACCTTTATTTCACTTTCTTATTTTTATGTGATGCTGAGGATCGAACCCAGGGTCTCATACATGCGAGGCGAGTACTCTACCTCTGAACCATAACCCCAGCCCGAGAGAGTTCTTTCTATTTCTATAGTCAAAGCACAGTTTCAAAGTAGAGGTAGTGGGGGTATCAATTCCAGAGAGAACTGCAAGGTTGGAGGGCCTTTGGAGGGCTCATATTTCCAGAAGATGGAGTCCTCTACCAGGTTAAAGAATATGTAACTTAGTCACCTAGGTAAGACATGGTAGGGTCCTACATATCTGGGAAATTTAAAAGAAAGAGGGTGGCATGGAGTGGTGGGAAGCTCCCTGGAGCTTACCAGGCGGCTGAAGGGGTACTTCCTTATCAAGAGGTCTGTGCTCTTCTGTAGATTTTTGATCTCCTTAATCCAGCCAATTCTCCTCCGACTATGTTGACGAGAGGAAGAACCTAAACAAAACAGATGGATCATGAAGAGAAGGTGCAGTAGAAAATGGGTGATGCCTTGCAGTTTGGTTGAGACAGATCAACTGTGAAGTCACTAGGCTGTGACTGTGAGCAAGTATGCTCCACAAGGGCAGAATGTTTCATTCACCTCTCTTTAGCAACTAGAAAACAGCAGATAGTTGCTAAACATTTACTAAATTAAAAAAAAAAAAAATGGATGTTCCTTTGAGATTTGAGTGCTAACATTTCCATGAAGCCTTTCCTGAATCCCAAGCCCTTCCCAACAGATGGGAACCCAGGGTTGCCTCCCTCCTCTGGGCGCCACAGTACTTGGTATTTCTCTTATCTTTCTCACTAGATTGAAAACTCATTTATTTTGGTTTTAGGCCTTTTTGTTAACAGCTGGAAGGAATCAGATACTGTCTCCTACAATACCCCTGTCTTGATTATCCTGGGGCCTAGAGAAGTGAAGACAGTTGGCCACAGTTCATTAGAGGCCAATGAGCTTTAGAATTAGCATAAGTCAGTGCCAGTGTCAGGAATGCAGGTTATAGAGTCACAACCTTTGGCTCAAATTCTAGTTCCAACATTGACATTAAAAGATGGCTAAGTTCATCTCAGGTGGTACATGCCTGTGGTCCTGGTGACAGGAGGTTGAAGCAGGAGGATCACAAGTAACTTAGACCTTATATCAAAATAAAAAGGACTGGGAATGTAGTTCAGTGGAAAAGCACACCTGGGTTCAACCGTTAGTTCAAAAAAAAAAAAAAAAGAATTTGTCCAGAGGCCTGATTATAAAAAGTCATTATTAGAGTTATTTTAAAAATTAAAAGAACATGGAGCAAAAGAAATATTAAAGATAATAGGGACTGGAGTTGTAGCCCAGCAATAGAACACTTGCCTAGCATGTGAGGCATTGGATTTGATTCTCAGCACCACATATAAGTAAATAAATAAAATTAAAAAAAAAAAAAAAAAGTACATCCTGATTTTACATTTATGTGGTGCTGAGAATTGAACCCAGTGCCTCATGTATGCTAGGCGAGCGTGCTACCACTTGAGCCACATCCCCAGCCTCTAAAAGTGGTATTTAGAATCACAGGGGTAGATGAGATCACCAGGCAGGGGATAGAAGAGAAAAAGATGCCAAGTCCCACATCAAGGAGTTGGAGAGAGGTGACACAGGCAGTCAAGAGAACCAAGCAGGAACTGCCAGATTGCATGGTGTCGTGGAAGCCAAGGGAACAGAATGTTTCAAGGAGAAAGTGGCCCACTGTGTCAAATGCTTCTGAGACAGTAGGAAAAGACATAGACCTGCCTGTTGGATTGGGCAAATGAAAGTTGCTGTAGTAGTTCAAGTAGTTCAAGTATGGTTAGTAGCTGCAGAAAGTGGGATTGAGGTGGGTTGAAGGGTGACTGGGAAGTGGGGAGTAATGTGTACACTTGAGTCTGGCTACTTAAAAGAGTAGCTATAAAGGGAAACAGAAATGGAGAATATAGGGAGTTGAGAATATGGGCTCAAGGAAATCCCCTTGCCCTTTTTCTGAGGATCATAAATACTGGAGCACGTTTGCCAATGCTAATGTTTGGATTTAATTTTAGGTGCAGGTAGAGGGGACCAAAAAAAGCCCTTTTGCAGGTGAAAGAAAGACATAGCTAAGAGCCCTTGAAGAAGCTGGAGCAGCTTTTGATAAGAAGGCAGATACCTAGGCAAGGCCATTATAATCACTACTTAAAAGGATAGTTATAAAAGGGAAAGAAATGGGTAGTCTAGGAAGCTGGAAATGTGGTGTCAAGGAAACACCCCTCCCTAAGAGTAAGTGAGGAGACTGAAGCTGTATGAAGAGGGGGAGCAGGCTATGGTAGCGCATACCTATAATGCCAAGTTACTCAGGAGTCTGAGGCAAAAGGATAGAAGAATCACAAGTTCAAGGACAGCCTGAGCAACTCAGCAAGATCCTATGTCAAAAAGGAAAAGGAAAAAAAAAAAAAAAAAAAAGTATGGAATTGTCATGGGGAGAATGGAAAAGCAACAATACCAGACAAGAGCAACAGGACTGCCAAAAGAAGTATAAGTGCCCATTTGAGGCAAAACTTTTCATTTAATCAGAAATAATAGAAAGGATGCTTCTACATTGGAAAGCAACAACAAACGTCATATTTAACACTCCCATTAACATCGAGAACAAGACAAAGATGGCCAAGATAATACTCTTCCAGTCTTAGAGTCTCACTAATACCATGCAATAAGAAATAAAACGTGTAAAAACACAAAAGAGTCAAAAATCATTATTTGCGGATGCTATAATAGCTTGCTTAAAAAAAAATACAATTGAAGCAATAGAAGAACTTCTAGGATTAATGAAGGGCTGGGGATGCAGCTCAGAGATAAAGGGCTAGCCCATGGTCTATGAGGCCTGTGTTCAATCCCCAGCACCAAAAAAGAATTTAGCAAATTGGCTGTATGCAAAGGTTAAATTCTTATGTTTTAGCAAAGAAAAATATTTTTTTCTTTACATTTCTTACAACAGTAATATCTAAAATCATCTAAAATACATTTCCCCCCTTGCTCTCAGAAGACAAGTACAGCAGCTATTGTTGTCGTGTGCAGTCCCCACCCTTGCCAACTCCAGCCCCAAATCAAGAAACTGAGGACCATAAACTCTTCCTACTTCCCAAGAAAGGGAAGCGGGTGAGTGCAGGGAGTCTTGATTAAGGCCCAACACTCACTGAAGGAAAACAAACCTGGAAAGACAGCTCTTAAGAGTAGGACTGCAGTTAGAAATTGTCACCCAAAGCAAGCCAATAAAAAACACACACACACACACACAAAAAACAAAACAAAAAAAACCCCACAAACACAAATGCTTAAAAATCTTGGGTCTACCAGAACCAGTTGTGTGACTGCTCAAGTTACCTGGCCTGCCTGTGCCTCAGTTCTCTCACAAGCTGTAAAATGGGCACAATACAAAGATGAGATAATGCATGAAAAAGAGTTTAGTGGTAAGCGCGCGATAAATGTGTGTAGTAACAAGAAGAACTGGTCTTAGGAACAGGCTGTCGGGCCAGTCCTTGCCCCCTTCTGCAGCCCTTAGTTGGGCTGAGCACTGGACCGTGCCCGGAGCAGAGGCTGGAAGGCAGAGGCTGTGTCCACTGGCAGCGGAAGGCCACGGGACCAGCCGTTCTGTCAGCTCCGCAACAAGCCTCGTCCTTCTCGTCTGAGAAGTGTGGCAATTCCGTTTCCATGCCTCGCTCCGGGGTGAGCTGTAAGGGAAGGGCCACGCGGGTTACCTAAGGAGGCTTCCCGCCGCGGGGTCCCGCGAGGTGGACTCGCGCTGCGCCTCTTCGGGGTCTCTGGCTTGCGGCGTCGGCGGCGAGGGCCCATCGCGGGCCACAAAGGGTCCCGGCTCCCGGTCGCCCCACGGCTCCTGTTCGGCCTTCCGGACCCGTATCTGAAGGTTGGTTACCAACAGAAAACGAGAGAGCGCCCGGGCAGAGGGCCACTGAGGAGCCGGTGCTCCACCCAGTCAGCGTCGCCTTCCGTTCAAATCTCCCGCCCCGCCTACTTCACGGCTGGCGTTATTTAAAACCCCAATTCAGAGACTCCCAGTGGCTAACTCAGAATGCCAGGCATAGAGCGACCGCAGGAAAGACCAATAAGGGCACGGGCCGACAGAAGGACCGCGGCGGTGATAGGAGGAAAGCTGGGGAAAGGCGGATCCACCGTGGAATCAGCCAATGAGCACTTGGAGAAATGAATGGCGTCTGGCTTGTGATGGGGCTGGCTGTTTGACCGATAGGACAGACGCCTTTGGGTGAGCTCTGGCCAAAAAGGAAATCTCAGTGCTGAAGAACGTGTTTCTCTTTTCGGGAGCAGTTTGTTACCGGGATCCGGGATTGAACTCAGGGGCGCTGGACCACTGAGCCAGTGTGGCCACATCCCCAGCCCTATTTTGTGTTTGATTTAGAGACTGAGTTGCTTAGCGCTTCGCTTTTGCTGACGCTGGTTTATGAATTTGCGATTCTCCAGCCTCAGCCTCATAAACTGCTGGGATTCCGGACGTGCGCCACCGCGTGGGCTGAAGAATGTATTTCTCTTTGACAAGTCACTTTCCTCGAATATTTTATGTAGCTCTATCAACCGTGAGGTGGCTTTAAAGATGAGGAAACAGACCCACATGTGACCGTGATCCATTTCGCCTTTTGAATATAGCTCTGAGGCTTATTTTTAAAACGGAGAAGTTTTCTTTTTCCTCTTTTCCTTCTCCTCCTCCCTAATCTGAGGAGGGGAACAAGATTACCTTGAGTTATTTGTGCTCCACAGCAAGGAAATGTCTGCCAGAGGATCTAGGAAGTGAATATCTCTCAAATTAACAAGTGAATCCTAACATACCATCAGGGCGCCCCTCCTATGTTTCTCCTTTGCTAGCAAAACAATAAAACTTCTTTTTCCTTTTTCTCAAAACCATGCCCACATTATTGAATTGGCATCGGGGACAAGGACCAAGCTTTTGATTACACACAGAGAGGGTGACACCCTTCTTGGGGATGCCCTGCAAATACAGGGCATGAACTTTCAGATGATTAGGGTTTGGGACGTCCAGCATGGTGGGCTCTGGGGATGAGGTCCAGGCAGGGCAATCGTCAGCACTACTTTTGGATGGGCTGTCCAGCACCTGGATAGAATCATACCAGGGAAACAAAGGATCTCTTCCATTTTCCATTCAGAATAATATGAATTCAAGTCATGTTGCCGTACTTAGAATAAAGGGAATTTTAACTTCCTCTTTTTGCTCTTATGAATTTTCTAAATGTTCTGTGAACATGTACTGTAATCAGGAAAATCGTTAGTTATAAAATCAGTGATTTCATGGAACACTTGTGCGTTGCTGGGTAGAATGTAAAGTGGTGCAGCTGCTGTGAAAAATAATATGGTAGTTCCTCAAGAAATCAAACATAGAATTACTATATGAACCACCAATTCCACTTTTGCCTATATATCCAAAATAATTGAAGGCAGATAATTAAGTGGATATTTGTATAGCCATGTTTATAGAAGCTTTATTCACCATAGCCAAAAGGTGGAAACAGCTTGAATGTCCCTCCATAGAAGAATGAATACATGAAATATGGTGTATTCAATGGAATATTATTTAGCTTTAAAAAGTGGAAATTCTAACACATGCTGTGAACATGGATGAACCTTGAAAGACTTTATACTGACTGAAATAAGCCAGTCACAAAAGGACAAATACTGTAGGACTCTACCTACATGAGGTACTGGAGTGGTCAATTCTTAGAGACAGAAAATGGAATGCCAGGGGCTGGAAGGAGGAGATAACAGGGAATTCTTACCTAATAGGGACCAAGTTTTAGTTTGAGTAAATGAGAGAAGATCTAGACATGTGGGGTGGTGATGGTTGTACAACAATATGAATTAATGCCACTGAACTGTGCACGTCAAAATGGTTAAGATGGTGAATTTTATGTTATGTCTATTTTACTATAATTTTTTTTTAAAGGAAAGTTTTTACTAAATCCATTGAGTCATAGTTATAATCACAGAAAGATCCAGGTCAACACAGAGGGAAGAAATCCAGAGATACTAATCCTCAATAGCCATTAATCAGATAAAGCAAAATTTCACTTATTAATTCTGCTTTAATTTCAGCCCCTTCTTTGTTCAATTGAAAGTCGATAATTACTTGGCATGGTGGTACACACCTGTAATTCCAGCAGCTTAGGAGGCTGAGGCAGGAGGATTGCCAATTTAGTGAGGCCCTAAAGAAACTTAGTGAGAACCTGTCTCTAAAATATACAAAAGGGCAGGGGTTATGGCCCAGTCGTTAAGCACCCCTGGATTCAATCCCCAGTAAAAAAAAAAAAAAAGTAGAAAATTAGGTAGAAAACAAATAAAAGTTCACAAGAAACTAATGCAATTGGCTACCTATAAAGTAGTGGTAGGTGAGTGGAGACAGAAGAGTAACTGTGTTTCTCAATGTGTACATTTTTATTTTTTTTAAAAAAAAGATGTTTATTTATTTATTTTTAGTTGTAGTTGCACACAATAATTTTATTTATATGTGGTGCTGGGATGGAGACCAGAGCCTCACATGTGCTAGGCGACCACTCTACCACTGAGCCATAGCCCAAGCCCCCAATGTGTACATTTTTATATATTGTTTTAAATTTTGAACCAGTTGAATTGCAAATCTATTTTAATAATAAAATTAAATAAAAATAGTAAATGGGTTGAGGAAATCAAGAATAGTATTAGACTACCCTGAAGTCCAGTGGAGTTGAATGAAACAGAGTAGCAAATTGTCAATCCTAGAAACATACTTACCACCAACTAACTGTCTTGACAGTGGGTAAATAAACCAGCATGGGAGAGAGAAAAGGGAGGAAACAAGTTAGTTAGTTGTACCATCACAAATAATGCAGAGACTCCCTTAGCCAAAGCTCCTGTGGATCTACTCTTGCCGCAGTCTGGCTGGGCACAAAATCACGAGCCACTCAAGCAGGAACAAAGTTTATTTTTTGAAACTGCCGCCAATGTCCGGTACCGCCAGGGAAGATTTTTTTCCACCCACGCGGCCTCCTCCCGGACCGCAGACAGAGCTCCTCCCCCGGAACTCCCTCCTACTGTACTTCCCCAACCAATGGGAACTCTCCAGGAGTCCCGTAGCCGGCCTAGGTGAACAGCAGGAGTCCAATATCCATATGAATGCAAATCTTAACATAATCATATCATCTCAATGGCTAGCTGGCGTCACCTTTAGACCAAAAATGCCATGCATCATATACTTGGCTCTTAGCATCTCCCCCCTTCTGTTTAAGTAACAAGCAATCTGGCTAGGGACCGTGCCTGTTAGGTTTGTCCAATTCAACATATGGTTCTTACCCGTCATCGGAAAACTGACTTTTAGGCGTCAGCCTCCTGTCTTAGGTTGATACCACTGCAATTGGATCATACCCGTCACTGACTACCGGTCCAGCATATAGCCATACTTGTGGATAGGCCTATGTACCAGTGGGGGGGTGAGGTTCTTTGCCTCACCTCTGTTGGCCCCCAAATTTGGCCTTTGGTGCCGGTGGGGGGGTGAGGTTCTTTACCTCACCTCTGTTGGCCCCCAAATTTAGACCATCACTAGTAGAAGGGAGGAGGATACAGAAATGTCATGACACCAAGTCAATTAACGGCTCCTAGGAAAAATTACATCACTGGTGACACATCAGCAAAGATACGCTAGCACTACCATAATTCGCTGCATCAACAAATAGATCACAAAGCATACAAGTGATACATAGTCCAGGCAAGTTCTGTAAGCAGTTCAAAGCAGAGGAATCTATCAATATGTCCATATCCTTCCAAAATAAATCGACTCATTGATTGAGCCTTACTTGTTGAGTTATAAATCATTGATGTATCAGTTTACACGGTTTGTTGTGATAACTCTCGAAGAAGTTGTAGTTTGGTTTTATCTTTGTCTTCACCGGCACTGGGATGAAAATAGGAATTTTGACAATGATGCTAAAAAAAAATATGTAACATTTCAACAGGTACTAAGAAAACAATATTTAGAACAATTTACATTATCCTGAACAGAATTATTAAATATAATGAAAAGGAAAGGTGAAAGTAAACAAACAGATCTGTTAACCTTCTATTTGTTCATATATTAAAACAATCCTCAACAGCTGTTTACCCAAATTAAATTAAACTATTAAAATCACGTGAATAAAAAAAAATTTTTTTTGGATCCATGTGCATGAGCGCTCCTCATATGTGATATATTGACATACGCACATACAGACATACAACACAAAACAGAAGTGTGCACACGTAACATATAACACATAAGACAATAGTAAAGGCCTTGTAGCTTTACCTAGGTGAAATCTCCATTGCAATGTTCAAAAATTCCACAGTCAAAAAATAAAACTGATCAGAAAAAACATTAACCTAGGTCTGTATGAGCTCAAAAATAAAATAGAACTTTATGATGTGGGAAAAAGCAATAATAAAATAGATATTGAAAAAAACATCCTGGTTAATCACTGTCGCAGATGTAAGAATAGCCAAGCTGGAGATCTGGATATCAGCTGTTATGGATTTGAGTCGAATCATCTTCCTTTTGGTCTGTAGAAATTGTTTTGGTTAATCTCTCTGGAATCCAAATCGGCTGCTGTTCTTCCTGTGGAAAAACACAAACAGAGCCCCGACTCCAGACTATCACTGGGTCAGGACCTTTCCATTGTCCTGTTAGAATATCTTTCCAAAGTACCTTAGGCTTATGTACATTTTTTGGATACAAATGTCTTTCCGCAGCACTAAGCCCTGATGAATCCAAATTTAAAAAGTTTAGAGTAAAAAGGGTTATTTTCAGTTTATCTTTGGGGGATATATACCCCTTTCCAATTCCCTCCTTTGTTTTAATAAGTACATTTTAATAGTTTGATGAGCTCTTTTAACTATGCCTTGTCCTTGTGGATTGTATGG